TATATATATATATATGGTGCGTTCGAAAGATGAGCCAATCACACAGAGGCAGCCTTTTCGAGAGCTTAATTCTAATCTTCATGAATCAGGAATTTTCTAGCCTGGGTTTCGGCGGTTGTGAACATCTAATCCAACAGCACCAAACTTGTGACGTTTGTTGAATCTTTTTGATGCTACACGCAGCCTCTATCTGTTGAACGTGGTACAGTGATTTTTTAGCTCTGCTATCAAATTCCTCTCTATTTTCGTTGACAGCGGTCTTCCTTTTGGTTTCGGACTCGCCTGTTCTCACGAAAACACTCAGAGAAGGAGACTTCTCCATCTTGTACACAGAACACTGACAATGAGCACACAAACCTAGTCAAATTGTCTTCTGATGACACAGTCAATCATGACCTGTTGAAACCAATGACAGTTCTTGATAAATCACTCTGGCCTTCTACAATTAGCCTGCATTGTTTAGGATGGGCCAAGGTTGAGCGCGACTACAAAGCAAGGACATCACAGGAACTTTCACTACAGGCTGGTAAGATTGAAATTCTTTTGTGGCTATCTAAATTGAACGACAATATATAAGTCATTTTGTGTTATACTCGCGGACAACTCGGCGAACCCACAATTGGAGTAATGTTTACAAGAGGGATTTCACCAACCCTGTGTGGTAACTCAGTTTCCCTTTATTTTCCTCATGTTCGAGTACCCAATCCCCAAAACGAGAGCTCACGCATGTGCACGTGATCACTTATAGGTCGAATTCGTTAGGTAACCTGAACCGTTCTGGATTATATTCCTCGTGGAGGATACTGTTTGTTGGAATGCTTTCGCAGTAATATCCCATGCACAATTAATTCCTCTGTGGCTGATATCCAGGGAAAATTGTAGCTATTCAGCAGATTAAAACAAAAACTTGCTCACTGAGTGACCGTAGTTAGGTGATTTCGTTATGAGAACGAAATTCACTACTGGTTGTGTTTCATTGAAATCGGAGAACTGTTCATTTTGGCGAGTTAAAGTTGTAGGGTTTGAAAGATCACATGGCTCTTAATGTGGCCGCAGCTTGATGAGAAGCGTTCACCGTGACGTTGTGTTCTGAATCAGATGGCCTGTCTCCTGGACGTTGAAGACTTCGGGGCATATTCTGTTGACAGGATACGAACTGGCTTGACGTGAAAACTGAGTATCAGCCACACAACTTTTATTCCTTCTGTACAAATCGCTTTCATCGCTCGTCGGCGTTCAAAATCGTATTCGACTCTCGATCAAACTCATAAGAGGACCCTTTTCTGAAAAGGTACCAGCAGATCTCATGTATTAGTAAAGAAATATTCAGGTGTTTTACCGATTAGGAATTGGGAATTCAACCTGATGGTGCTATTCTAAAATACTCCTAATGAGGAATAACTACGCAAAAAGGCACCCCTGAAGGGCTGAACCTTTTTCGGTATCTGGCGTTAGACTGACGTCAGATACCCTTCCAAACATCTTGCTCCCCGACGCATTGCGACAGGGCAGATCGCCGGGAGCTTCTAAGAGCAATCGCGAAATTTGCTTAAACTTGATGAATTACTTTGATTTTGTGAGTAGCTTGTAGCAATATTCAGTTCTTATCTCGCTTCTTTATCTCAAAGCGATTTAGTCGCATGATGCAACTGTTAGCTGAGCATCTCCGTGTCTGTCTCCGTGTTTGTATGTGTGTGTGTGTACGTGTGTATGTATGTGTGTGTTTGTGTGTCTCTCACAGTGTCACCGGTTTCTTATCCTGCCTTGATATTTTAGGTGATATTGTCAGTATCTATCGCAAAGACAACGAACTGTGGTGGTTTGGGGAACTGAATGGAACCAAAGGCCACTTTCCAGTCAGCCATGTTGAAGAATTTTGACGCTCTCGTTTTATGTTTGGTGCCACACCATTGCTGTTTTTTCTGCGTGATCAACTAAGTCACCGGTGTTCATACCTTTCCAACCGTTCACGTGCTGTATAGAATGCTAATATCCAACGGTTTTTCACCCCAAAAATTTGATCAGGTTTCCTTTTTTCGTTTGTGCGTTGCCATTCTATTGTTTTTCTTATTCCAATCGAATTTATGCGCCTGTTGCTTTGATTAGTTGATATACTTTCCCGGTGGCTACTGCTTTTCCTTATGCCCAGACAGTTTTTCCCTTCGTTCTTCCCTAGTGATATCCGTTTTAATTTATTCCACTCGATCGGACGTGGATTATGTTGTACGCAGTTAGCTAAACGCAACTGATAATGTCATCTGATTAGGGTCGTATTTTGTGCGGACGACAACCGGCGTTGTATCATTTTGTATTCATTGACAAGATTTTGAAATTTTTTGTTTTCAAATTTTAGCGATTCACACTCGTTTTCCCATGCTTGTATTGTGAGAACGAGTATATCTTGTCAATCTCTCAGTAAGTCGCACTTGCGTAGGCGAACGAGATTAAATTTGCTTATGGAGAAGATACACTTGTGTCTTGAGTTCATCATGACTACTGATTTATTGGTGATATTGTATCCTGGGTTCGTTTTTTGAACGATGTTACTGTTGAGCAAGGTTCTCGGACTCACGAAAATATCGACAGCAAGCATGACATCAGTGCTTGACACCGATGATCCACGGCCGTAGAATTCACAAACGTATCAGTGAAGATCCTTTGAACAGTGTTCCATGGTTTGTTTTTACGTTATCTATTTGACAGCCTCCCCTATCACTTTCAAGGACAATGCAAGCAATGGTTAGCAAGCATGTCAGGAATGAAGGGGTGATCAAAACACAACCATCNTTTGCTTATTCAGAAGATACACTTGTTGCCTGAGTTCATCATGGCTACTGATTTATTGGTGATATTGTATCCTGGGTTCGTTTTTTGAACGATGTTACTGTTGAGCAAGGTTCTCGGACTCACGAAAATCGTCATCGACAGCATGACATCAGTGCTTGACACCGATGATCCACGGCCGTAGAATTCACAAACGTATCAGTGAAGATCCTTTGAACAGTGTTCCATGGTTTGTTTTTACGTTATCTATTTGACAGCCTCCCCTATCACTTTCAAGGACAATGCAAGCAATGGTTAGCAAGCATGTCAGGATTGAAGGGGTGATCAAAACACAACCATCAGTAGTCCCTCCAGTCACTTCGACATAGAGAACCAAGCTGGATAATTATGGCCTAATTGAGCGTTAACCTTCTAGTTCTCAACTGTTTTTTTCCAATAGGGAATCCCCAACTTTCATGAATCTTGAGTGGGAGCTTTGAAATCTTCGGCGCTGTGTTGAACGTTCTTTCTTCCTACTGTGAGGGGATTTGGATTTCCTCCTGTGCGTGAAGCCAAACTACAGTGAAAAATGGAGAACCACTGTATATTTGTTTCATTCTTATTGGGACTTATCTGGAGTGCAGGTCTCATGAAACTCCCGGAAGTTTTGTGCCTGCGACCTATCGGCTAGTAATTTCAATACGTTTGGTCACAAGCATCTGATTAGCCGCATGATCAACTTGCATTTGGGCAGGATATAGCGCTGTTCAGCCTTCAGTCGCGGGATCCACATCACGTGGTCATGGCTCCTGAAACACCATCTTCTCACCTGGTAGTTTCATTCTTCCGATGAGCTTTATTCTTCCTGTGAGTTGCTGGTAGTCGGTCGAGCCCCGTTTCAGTAACTTGTGCTGGCTTTCCCACAGTGACCGTCACGAGATGAGCTGAGTCATGCGATGCGCATTTGCAAACTTCAGATTAAGAGCATAATATCCTGAGTATTGACGAGTGAAACGATTAACTATGTACCTCGAGGTCAGGTACGACGGTCAGGTCTAACTTTATTGGAGGCTTCAGGTATTTGCTCAGTTTTTATGAAACATCCTGTGTTTCTAGGCATTTTGGCAGGGCGGCAAATAGGTTTTCGCGACGAACTCAACTCAGCCCTACACCATTTCATGGGAGTTAATCGAATGACAATATATCGCTATAGTTTACTGAATATGGGCTGTATATTTCTCTGCAAGGTCACGGATGTCCTCCCAGAACACAGCACGGGTGAATGGCTGTAGCCTGACAGGGATTCTAGAGAGATGTCAGACAGTGCATACAAAAATCGTTCCCACAGTCAGCAGAGTACAACGCAACGGAGTTAGGAATCGGTGGTGATTCTAGAGAGATGTCAGACAGTGCATACAAAAATCGTTCCCACAGTCAGCAGAGTACAACGCAACCGAAGTAAGCAATCGGTGGTCTACTCGCTGAAATTTTAAAAAACTCGCAGTGGTGTTAGTAGGCGTTTGAACAGGAGTCGAACGCATGTGCACTTGAGTTCCACACCATTTAGCTCACCTTCGTTCAATGGACTAACGGTTACTGTCTGCCGGTATCATCGGTGAGGCTTTCGTGTGACTGCCACACTGTGTCAGGCGTGGATATCAGCTGAATACCGAAAGGACACTCGTTTCTCACTGGTATCATCATACTCATCGATAGCATGACATCAGTGCTCAACACCGATGCATCGCTACCATACCATGGATGTTTTTGTACTGGTCAGGTCCCAAAGACTTACCTAGCAACATAGTCATATAAACAAGAGTCATATAGTAATTGACCCAATACAACAAGTAGTATATTACACACAACATATTTTTACTACGTTTTATGACAACAAGACAAGAAAAACGCGTAAAATTTGTCCAGCGTGTGTACAGTAGACATGAGGAAGAGACACGTCACAACGTCACCAAGACGAGGATAAATTAGACAACTTGATCAGGGACGATTCGACAACGGCGTGGACGAGGAATAGAGAGGCGCTAACCTTCGAAATCCGATTTCAGCGGGGACAGTTGAGGTGGTGGGTAATGGGGAACGTAGTTCTGAGCGTTTCATTTCGGCTAATCTTTGTTCTCTGATGTCTTTTTGTTCGACGGGAGGAGGCTAATCCTGCAGCCTTGATTCACCGTCCGATTTGCCAGACTTGTGCGTGAAGAAATTGAAGAAATTGTGTGTGTGAAGAAATTGTGTGTTTGATGGAAATCGATGTGCCTTTTGCAGTAGCCTCAGAAACTCGAGGCGTTTCTACTGACGTCAAATGGTTTGCAGAGTATAACGTTTCCTAGGATGAGACATTTATTCTAGTCACTCATGCCGAGTTACGGGGCTTTCATTACCGCCAAAGAATTGGGCTGTAAATTCTGCTAAAAATTTCCCCGATGTTCGAAGTTGCCACAAACAATGTTGCCAAGTAGTACGGGGTGTACGCCAGTTGGCAATATCCACGAACTGAGGGACAAGGGTTCCGATTGCCGAAAATTGACCGTGTAGTTTCTAGGCTTCCTGAAGTGTTTGATGTCTCAGAATTTTGTGTGCCTCAGGAACCTCAAGTGTGAAAATTCTTCTGAGTAACATTGATATAAGAGCGAATGTGAGTGTTGAATTTTATCGAAACTTCAAATGCTGATAAGTAACCTCTCAAGGCATGGAAACGAGTTCTTCTCCACGCGGGTAACTAGGCAGACCATTTTGACTCGTCTTCCAAAGGAGCGTCTGCTAGAACCGGCCGAAATATGGCTGTCACTCTGTTCCCTGAAGTTCACAGCACGCTTGCATCCTAATCGCACGGATTTTTCGTTTACTGTGGCTGCAATTAAACGTAAAACCCACTTGGACTTATATTAGTTCACCTGACTGATACTCTCTTTGTTTCCAAAAGAACTGGAGTCAGATACATGCTCCATGATTCATCAGTCTCTCGAACACCAGCACCTGGGTGTAGCATACAGGGTGAAAGAAAGCAGACGTATCTTTCAAGATTTTATACTTGTTGATGGAAAATGACTTGGTAGTGCACACGATGATCGCTGACGAGTGCACGTTTAGCAACGACTGCTGGACCTTACGCTATAAACCATGGTTTCCTTAGCTAATGAGAGGCGAGTGAACGGAAGAATGTGATGAACTGGAGTGTTTAATACAACGAAATTATTAGAACTAATGTCCACCAAGATATCACGTTCACGGTTCTACTAAGCGCGACCAATCGCCAATTGGATAGTGTGAGGCCAAGTGCAAATACGTCAGCCAGACGTTTCAACAGTCAACTTGTCAACACCTTCATTACTGCGAATACTACAGTGCAATTATGGCGGAAAGGCTCAGGTGGTTGGAGCGCGAATTTACTGACTGGAGGATCCGTCGTTCGAAGCCAACCTCGGCCTCTTGACATCCCCTGTCTAGGCTTGGGCAACCTCATGCTTCCTTCGGGTTGCATGGCAGCTAGGCATCGCAAGGGTTTGGCAACTGAACGAATGATGAAAATGTTGCAAGTCTCATATAGTGTAGTCAAATCAATAAACAACGATGTCAAAGGTGAGTGTGGATGTTTGAAGCAAGTATAGAACAGTGCTCGCATTGAAAGAAGACAAGCGGTACTGGTCATAGTGTGCAACCCAAAACCAGTTTCTTCGGAATTACAGTATTTTTGAAATCGGTTCATTTGTATGAAGCACTTCTAGTCGATCTACTTGATTCAACGATCTCCTAGCAATTGATTTTGAAGGGATTCGGAACCACCTGTCAACGGGAATCTATGCTAGCTTCCTGGTTGAAGGCCGACGGCGCCAATTAGGGTAGGCTTCAGGTGAATGCGGAAATACCTCCTCCAATGGCTGCGTCCGAAGCCCGTGGTTATTGCCCGTGGACTTGAAACTCTGAATGTGTAGCGACATTCCAAAATGGCTGCGTCCGAAGCCCGTGGTTATTGCCCGTGGACTTGAAACTCTGAATGTGTAGCGGAACACATTCCAAAGCCGCTGATAAAGAACTCATGAACAGATGAACTCCAAGGATGCCCGCAGAAAAATTTGAGACTGATTGAGGGCTTGACACCGACGCTTGGTTTCTCGTCGGTTCAGCGTATCAATTTTATTGAGATTGACCGTGGAAATTTCGTTTGTACTTTGCACGCGGGCATTACGTTTGACAGGTAATCCTCTGTGCTTGCTGATCAACCAGTGGGAATCCGTGAACGTAGCCTTGTTAGTTGCGACTGGTGGCGGTGTTGTGGTGTTTTCAGCTTGACCGGTTCCAATACATTCCAAAGCCGCTGATAAAGAACTCATGAACAGATGAACTCCAAGGATGCCCGCAGAAAAATTTGAGACTGATTGAGGGCTTGACACCGACGCTTGGTTTCTCGTCGGTTCAGCGTATCAATTTTATTGAGATTGACCGTGGAAATTTCGTTTGTACTTTGCACGCGGGCATTACGTTTGACAGGTAATCCTCTGTGCTTGCTGATCAACCAGTGGGAATCCGTGAACGTAGCCTTGTTAGTTGCGACTGGTGGCGGTGTTGTTGTGTTTCCAGCTTGACCGGTTCCAATATGGCTTCTCGGAATGTAGGGTTTCGAGCTTAACCGGGCTTTAAATCTGTTTATCAGATATCTGTTAATAAATCGCCAGTCTCCTCAGATGAAAGAGAAACATGTTCAAAGGTGTTTCTTTCAGGTTTTAATGATCGTCCTCTTTCTGGTAACTGAAATTCAGTCCAGTGCTCTGCATTTCATCCATTATTTTGTCAATTTATATCGCTGCATATCTTGGTCGAATTACTCGCACTGTTGATGAGCTGCTCGGATCCGAACGGTTGAAAGTTCAAACTACCTGTGAGCAGATTGCGGCTTTGGAACTCTACGGAATTCCGTGTGGTTCGCACTGGTGATTACTACCCGTGATGATGAATCAGCGGTGCGGTACTTTCGGCCTTTTCAGCGTACACTGTCTTCGCTTGCGCGACGAAATCTCGATTAGGGCAATGAGAATATCTACAGGAGATCAACAGTTCACAAGTAGCCTGGAAGGACAAAATACTACCCACAATAAATCGAGGATTAAGTTGGGGTTTCGTCGCCCGTGCACACATAACCTGTATCCCAATTTATGGAGTTGAGTTGTCGTCGACTTCAGGTGAACAGCGTTTCTACTGACGTCAAATGAAAAAATACGGCGAAAGAATGACCCGTAGTTTGGAATTACCACAAACAATGTTGCCAGAAAGAACGAGGTGTACTCAAGTTTGCAATATCCATGAACTGAGGGACAGAGGTTTCGATTGCCGAAAAGCGACCGTGTTGGTTCTAGGCTGCCTGAAGTGTTTGATATACTCTGCATATTACAGAGATACTTCACTGAGGAGTTTACATCTGTTTGTACTAGGCTGGTCTGTTCATTTTTCCGGATGACCTGTCCACAGGGTTAGCACTAACTAGTACATTCACGTTGGTACAGCATTCACGTGTAAATATACTTCGAATATTTGCTCCACGCGCGTGAGGCATTTTGAGTCAAGAGCCATCTCGCTTATGAGATTGGTTAATATCGTCCATCAGTTTCATTGGCTGCGAGGAGTAGTGGCGGCGATACAAAATGTGCGTGTGGATTGTGAACATGTGATTTCAGTTGGCCTAAAGATGCATCGTTCATACCTGATCCTGCAAACTTTGATTGTTCTCAAGTCTGCAGCTAACGGTGGAAAGTCATGTAAGTATCATTGGAATGACGTTGCGACTAAGGATTTTACTCAGCGATGCGCACAATTATTTTGAAAGTCTCATTAAATCGCCTTCACTCTCGTGAACTGAAAATGCTCTTTATTGTGCAGGAGATTTCCTTGTGTTTTTTCCACACGATTGTCTTTCTCGTCTTTCTGTTCCAGTTGGGCAGTTGGATGCCTTGCTGCAACAGCATACACCGATTGGTATGTTACGCCGTGTTCCAGACAACCTTCACACCGAAACCTCTCTTTTCGCATTTCGAATGTCAAGTTTCTTTGCTGTTCAGATGTAATATATTCAAGATTTCCGTGAAAGGGAGGAAACTTGATTCACCTGGGATCTTGCTCACTGTAATTTCGCTCAGGCTTCTATTCATTGTCAGATGCTTTTGATGTTTGACGTATTCCAAGGGCAGAGTCGCTAGTGTCTCTCTTGTGCGAGAGAATCTCTTACAAATTGGCAACAAAGAGTTCAGAATACATGAGGGGCTTCTTGGAGCCTTATGCATCACGCGTTTGTGGGAGAAGTTGCTTAGCTTAAAGTTACTATCCCGGGAGTGGCTCAGGTGTTACTATCTACAGACAAGCGCAAGCCTTATCGATTGCATTGAGATGAAGAAACCAATAACGCCAACATGCAGATTTGGGCGATCTGAAGTTGCTACAATCAACGAGTATTTAGACTTACCTTGTCAGTTGACGAAACTGAAATGTACTTAAACCGTGGAAAGTACCTTATTCGTCCCTTTTCCATGCTTCGCGAATTCGACCATCAGGATTGTACAGCGCAGATTATGACAACACAAGTAAATTTACCAAAATGGGTTGGTTGTACGTTCATACACCACTGATTCCACAGTGACAACCCCTCAATAGTTCAATGGGTCAGCCTGTAGGAGGTTACCAGGACTAATGTTCGGCACTGTGTAGACTGGCGATTCACACTGTTTGTCAGTTTTGATAGTTGATGTTCGTAAACTCACAACAAGTAAGCATTCGTAATAATAAATGCATAGTTTGTAGGCAAACGTTTCCAGTATTCAGCTACTAATATACTCGAGTGCCACGTTTTGACTGTAAATAGAAATTACCGGTCGATTCTACCGGGGAAGTATCTTCTTGCCCCAAAACCCATTATGATTTTAATCTGATCAGAAAAAAATTCATTTATTTCATTCCAGGAAGGGAAATAACGAAAGGACGGAAGAACAATGAAGCCTAGTGTGGCAATAGTCGGAAAGCAAATTTGAGAGTAGAATTTTAGAACCATGTAATCACCAAAGTGAATCACTTGTAATAACTGTGTATGCTCCATTTATTACAGAATTTGTGGACCGTGTGAGCGAGGCCAGACGAAATGATTTGGCTGGTGAGAGAGAAATAGATAAAGATGTGACCAACATCAGCGGCCAACGAGAAGGAAACTGCCGTTTCGATTCAGCACACATTCCAAATGCCGGACAATTCCAACTGCCTGCTAATCCGTCGCAGTTGTCCCTGACGAACCGATACTCGGACAACGATCCAAATGGTCTGCGGTGTAATATCTGCGATCGTGTTTTCACCTGCAGATACAACAAACGTCGGCATGATTTTCGACACCACCACTCCAAGCCACCGACCCTCTCGGATTGCAAATGCACGGTTTGTGGACTGGATCTTGTCTGCCCATCGGCTTTGAAAACGCACATGATTCGTCACAGTGGAGCGTACGCATTTCTTTGTGA